TATGTGAACTGGAGATCAAAATATTGAGGATATTCATGCAACACATGGCAACACATAGAATAATAGAATGCTTAAGGTTGGAAGGGACCTGTAGAGGTCATCTAGTCCAATCCTCCTGCACATGACTAAAACTAAGTCAAATGTAATGTTAAACACACTGCTGAACATCACACCACTGCACTTATCAGTTACAATAGACAGCACCAGTAAATACACAAAGCTCAAGTAAGCAGGACTGATGCTAAAACACCATCACAACAAGCAGTTATTACCATAAGGAACTGAAATCAGATTCTTACAAAACATGAGGCAGTCACTGTCTGCAGTTTTCTATTCCTCTGCACAAAAGGCAATTGTCTATGGAAGTTTTGTTCAAAATAGTCTCAGCACAAACAGTAAGAATTTATATCAGGACACAAGTATACAAAGACAAATAACCAGCAACAAACTGAGGGGTGAAAAAATGCACCAATATGGAGAGCAAATATTTTCCTTCTATAATAGGTTCTGGATTCCTCAGTACTCACACAAAACAGGCTGCATTTCATTAAAAAAAGTGTTTCATATGATGTTTTCAATCAGTAGTTCTCCCAAATCACTAAAAATTGCATGAACATCACTTTTCTGACTTGCATTCACTGTTAATTCCCCTTTGAAACTAAAAAGCTTCATCTCATCAGTTCTTTATCACTTTCTAAAGGAAAAGCATACAGCAAAATGACTTTATTTCAGAAAATGTTGAATTTCTACTGGTCCCCAAAACACAAAAGCCCCTTTTGTTTCAGTTTTGATGGCAGTGATCCTTGGAAAAAAAAATGCTGAGGACAGCATGGCCTACTATATTGATGGAACTAAAGGAAATATACCTACTTAATTTCTGAATATGGAAATCAAAGGCATTACCAAAAGATGGGACAGAAAGAGGAGATCAGCATCCTCACAGACTGATTTATAACATTACTTCTATGACCTTTAGGGTGTCTGCTCTACAGCTTTTTTCGTAGAGGCACCGAAATAATGTCATTTTCAAAGACTTAAAATCCAGAGCCAAGAAGAGTTTCTGACAGATGTCATGGCTTTTCATATACAGCATGACAAAGCTGGATAGCAGCATTCATATGGCTGGCTCTCTTGAGATGCAAGAGGCTCTGGCTTCATATTATTTATTTATTTTTTTTTAATGAAGGTGTTGCAAGAGAAGCTCAAATCCTGCAAATCAAAAAAGACTAACAAATGATCTGGAATGATTCTGGCCATTATAGTGGCACACCTCCCAGATATTTGTCCAAATTACTCCGAACAGCATTACTGGAACTTTACCCCCAAAGTTCAGTTTTACTTTCATGGAGTTCTTTTTTTCCCAGCTGGACAGGTTCTCAGAAGTTCCTACAATATAGGTAGTATTTTCTTCTTACACCATAGGTAATATTTTCTTCATTTACTTATTTTGAGCCCAAAAGGATCTGTTTTAAAGCTTCACTCAAAAATATAAACACTTGTTTTATAAAACATAACTTTACAGTTTAATACCAATGAAAATCCCAAAGCCATAACTTCTGCATTGAAGATTCTCTCAGGGGAGGAAGGGGGGAAAAATGATTAACAAATTAACTGTTACAAAATCCTGATACAATTGGTTCTGAAGCAGAGTTTTGCTTTTCTTGGCCTTTTTTTTTTTTTTTTTAAAGAGTCTTTTGGGCATCAGAATGAAAAAAAAATCAGTAGTTCACACCTATGTTAGAAAGATCATTTCTATGTTAAGGGCCACCTTAATCACTACTTTGTTCCATCAATTTGGGCAAAAACCAACTCAACATACAAGTTACAAGAGGGCGAAAATTATTAAAAGAAAAACAAAAATCTTAGTCTTAACCTAACTTCCCATCTCCCATAATTTCCACCCTCCTCCAGTAGATTTTTACAGCTCTGCCAGGAGTAAACACACAGACATCCCTGGATGGATAGCTATTTCTCAAAAAGACCTTCAGAATCACTCAGCTATGGGCACCTCTCCTGGAGAGAAATCCCACGGAAATATGTTATCAGAAGAAATAGGAAGTCATAGGCAATATGACATCAATCACTATCAACTGTCAAAATGGAAGATTCTTCTCCCCTTAGCTGAATCTCCACTTACCTGTTACAACCAGTAAAATCATCTGGCTCACTTCTGTGAACTTTGCACAGGTATAATTGATTAGGAAGCATTAAAGCAGTTTCAAGCTTAGAAAAGAGGCCAGAAGAACAAGAGAGTAAAAATACATGGAATAGGACTCAAAACAGCATTATAATGCTGCACAAACTTTCCACACCTATATTGTTGTGCTGTCCATCTTTCGTCTCAGATTTCTGTGCATTAACTCATTTTTTCAAATTTTTCAAAAAAAGTTATACAATTCTAATCACTCGCAAAAATAAATATGCTCAGAATACTTTTTTTCTAATGTATCTCATCCTGTATAAACTATTTTTTCGTGCTTGCTTTCTTAAGATTAGTTTCTTGTGTGATCAGCAAGCTTTAATTTCACATTCTGTTCCTAATAAAGTCTTTCTAACCTAAAGAACCAGGCATCTCCACCATTCTTCTTCTATGGAGACGTTGCTGCTGATTATTTTTAGTCAATCTTTGTACCTTGCCCTTCCTTAGCCAACCAACAATCTTTCTTGGATTTTTGACCCTCCTTCTGATAACTTACAGGAAGAAAATATAATCTAGTAATATCAGAAGAAAACACCTCATTAAAAAAAAAAACTTCAGACACCTTTCACTGCCAAAGCCAGAACTCAGCTTCCAGCCATGAAATCAGAACATAAAACAAATTCTATTGCATGCCAAGTAAAACTACTACATATATCCATCATCATTTAGCACTCCTCTGTCTGAAGCAATAAAGAAACACATGAAACATCTTTAAGCAGAAAAGTTCTTGCTTACATTACTAGCCTTCTTCCACATAAAAACAAGGAGAAGCATTTAGGTTTCTGACAGTACATCGTGATTTTAAAACAAGTCTCTGGGATTCTAGGCCACATAGACTGCCCCTGTCCCCATCCTCTCCCCCCAGTCAGAGGTGCTTTTCTATGACAAAGGGGAGCAGGTCAAAACGTAAGTCACTTAAATCCATCCAGAACAATACTGAACAGCAAAGAGTTCAAGAGTAAGTTCAACAGCAACTCAAATTATTTTCTAGTTGGGTGATTTTATCTTGATCATTAAAACGAGGAGAAAAAAAAAAAACAGCAAGCAAGAGAAACTGTACATTGTGCTCGAGTGTCAGAAACCACTTCCCCTCCAACATTCTCCCAAACATTTGGTAAAGCTGACTGACAAACTTTGTAACAAGAAATGAGTAAGAAGTATTTTAGATTAGTGGATGCAAACAGAGTTGCAAACTGAACATCTTGTTTAAGGTTACTGTAGAAATAGGAGGAGCCCTGGTGCTGGTATAAAGAGTAACCCAGGCTCTAAAAGCCACTTTTATGGGCCAAGGCTACCCTAAACTTAAATGCAGCTCAAACTACAATATGTTAGTCACTAGTGAAGCTCTGTCTGGATTATTTTTTGCAAGATTTCCCTATCAAAGACATGATTTCAGAGCTGCCCAACACAACACAGGTACTTTTTTGTACCAATACTGAAAAACGCTCAAGTATCTCTGCAGTGCAAGAAGTGAAACCCACCTCCTGCTCCACAGAACCTGCTGCGAAGGCGAGATCCAGCCCCACAGGACAGGCACACTTGGAGCACCATCTGTGTGCAAACCCTGACTTTGCTCCGCACATTCACGGCATCGGGCCGGCTGTTCCGGTGCGGTCAGGCCGCCCCCTCCCCGCTTCCCCTGCGCATCCGCAGC